TGAGGCTGGCGGCCCGCGTGAGCCGCGGCGCGAGGTCTCCACGTCCTCTCCCGCAAGGCCCGTTTCTCTTTCGTCGCTCGGTGGGCCTCCCCTCGAGGGAGGGAGTGGGGCGGGGGGGATCGGGGGGGGGGGGGGGGGGGGGGGAAAGGTCTCGGGCGATGCTGCGTCGGACAGGGTTCCGCGGTGCCCAGCGGTCGGGTAGGGCTTGCCCCGAGCTGGCGTGGCAGTCTCGGAGATAGCTCGCCCGCCATCGTGCGACGCGCGCGCGCGCGCACGGAAGCAAGACGCGGGGGGGGGGGAGGCGGAGAAGAGAGGGGCGGGGGAGCTGGAGGGGAAGGAGAAGGAAGAGAGGGAGCGGAAGAGAGGGGGAGGAGGACAACGACGACGTCGACGTAGACCACGACGACGGCGACCAGGACGAAGAGAAGAACGATGAGACACAGGAGTAGCCGGAGACGCACTGGGAAGAGGGGGATAAAGACAAACAGGACAAGCAGGGAAGGAAGAGCAACAAGAGAAGAACGAGGAGGAGGACGGCAATGATGGTGATGGCGAAGAGCAGGAGAAGGGCATTGAAGAGGATGAGGAGAAGCAGTAGGATCATGAACTGAAGGAGGGGGAGGAGCAGGAGAAACCAGAGGAGGAGGAGGAGGAGGAGGAGGAGAAGGAGAAGGAGAAGGAGGAGAAGGAGGGGGAAGATGAAGAGAAGGGGGCGAGAAGGAGAGGAGGCGTAGGAGGAGGAGGAGGAGGAGGAGGAGGAGGAGGAGGGGTAAAATGGTTATGAGCACAACTAGGAGAAGGAACACAAATAGGATGAGGGAAGAGGGTGCACAGGAGTGAAAGAGACAGACAATAGTCAGGAACGGGAGCAGAAGGAGGAGGAGGAGGAGGAGGAGGAGCAGGGTCGAGGAGAAGTTGGAGGACAAAGGCGACGTCGACAGAGTACAGACAGAAGGAGCAGGAGCAGGAGATGGGGGATCACGACAACCATACGTAAGCAGAAAGAAAAGAGGGAGGGGAGGAAGAGGGAGTAGGGATACCGCCGTTTGCAGAATCAACGCCCACCAGCTAGAGTGCCGACGGACGGGAGTTCATTTCGCAAACAGTGGTGCCCAGCACCGGCGTCATATCGTGACGCGAAGACGATCGCGTTGATGATCTTGGCTCACGACCTGCGACGCGACCCGCGACCGCGACCGGAGTCCGTGGCCAGCGCCTAGGGCTTGCGGCCCATCCAGATCACAACTAGAGCAAAACCAGAGCACAATCTGGAGCACGACTGACGAGGGTAAATTTCTTCTTGGGAGAAAGTTGCAGTGGACCCTCCCAGAGAGAAACGGCCCCTTCTTTCTCATTCTCTAACTCGAAGGCGCACCTGATTACCATGATCTGTCTGAGTTGTGTTGTAGGCTGTTTTTTCGGTTGTGCTCTAGGTTGTGCTCTAGTTGTTCTCTAGTTGTGCTTTGAGGCAACTCTCGGGATAGGTCCCCCCCCCGTTGAATTCGGCATTGGGGGCGTTCTCTGTCGGTCGTCGTCGCCGGCCTGTCGGTCCGTCGTCGTCGTGGGTCGGCGCGGTCGTGGCCATCGTCGTCGGTCGGTCGGTCGGTCGGCTGGTTGGTCGGTCGGTCGGTCGGTTGTCGTCGTCGTCGGTTGGTCGGTCGGTCCGTCGCCGTCGCGGTCGTCGGTTGGTCGTCGGTCGGCTGGTTGCCTTTCATTGGCTTTACAGCACGGCCTGGAGAGCACCGTCTCCCATCTGCAGGGCGCGCGGCAAGACGGGCGCCTTGGGCCCCCCTCAATCGAGAAAGCAGACGAGTGGTAACCCGCACTGGCGCCATAGAGTGACGCGAAGACGATTGCGTTGATGATCCCGGCTCACGACTTGCGGCGCGACCAGCGACCGCGACCCAAGTCCATGACCAGCGCCTAAGACTTGCGGCCCATCCAAAGCACAACTAGAGCACAACCAGAGCACAACCTAGAGCACAACGTAGAGCACAGTCTGGAGCACAACTCACGAAGATACATTTTGTTCGGGATAAAGTTGCAGTGGACCCTCCCAGAGAGAAAACATTCCTTCTTTTTCATGTTCGAACGAACGCGAAGGCACACCTGATTACCACGTCCTGAGCTGTGCTCTGGGTTGTTCTCTGGGCTGTGCTCTAGAATGTGCTCTAGGCTGTGCCGTAGGTGTTGTGCTCTGAGGCCGCTCTCGGGATAGGCACCCCCCCTTTGAATTCGGCAGGGCGCCCTCGCAAGTCTGGTAGCTCCTCTTCTGATGAAGGCATCCCTTTCTTGGTAGCCGCCGCCGCCGGCGGCTGGGGCGGGAGCGGCGGCGGCCGGGGCAGGGCTGGCGCCCCGCCCCGTTTGGCCGCAAGACCCTGGCACAACGTCAGCGCAGCCCCTCGCCCTCTGGGCCGCAATCGGGCGTCGGTTTCCAATCCCGACGGGCCCGAACATTAGCAAACCGCAGCGGGATTCTTCAGACAAACATACTGCGCCTTGTTCCCAAGGCGACTCGCAAGTTTCACTGGTGAGGTCAGAAGTGAAGTGGTCCACTTGCGTGTGAACTCTGCCAACAAGTTCGTTCGGGACTTGTCCGACAGACCCCAACATGGGTCTCGCGCCAAAGGCCCCCCGAAGTGAAAATACTTTCTAGGCGGATTCATTTCTTACCAACCATCCTATGGTGTCGGGTCCTCGTTTTGAAGAGACAGCGCTCCGCGTCCCTCCCTCCCGCCTCCACCTCCCGCTCCTCCATCCTTCCATCCCTGTCTCTGCCACCCGCACCAGTCAACAATGTCGGCACACCCCTCGCAGTCACATGCTTCGTGGCCCCACCGCACAAGTCAACAATGTAGACACACACACACACACCTCACACACTTCGTGTGGCCTCATGGGGAGCTCCACCGAGGGCCCCAGTGGCTGCGCTCGCACGGCACCATCGCACCCATTCTGGGACACCTTTCGCGCACTTCATGGCCCCATGGGGAGCTCCACCGAGGCCCCCAGTGGCTACGCTCGCACGGCACCACCGCACCCATGTCGGCGCACCTCTCACACGCTTCGTGACCTCATGGGGAGCTCCACCGAGGGCCCCAGTGGCTGCGCTCGCATGGCACCACCGCACCCAGTTCGGCACACCCCTCACACGCTTCGTGGCCCAATGGGGGGCTCCACCGAAGGCCCCAATCGTTGCGCTCGCATGGCACCATCGCACCCATTTCGGCACACCCATCGCACGTTTTGTGGCCCCATGGGGAGTCCACCGAGGGCCCCAGTGGCTGCGCTCGCGTGGCACCATCGCACCCACTCTGGGACACCCCTCGCCCGCTTCATGGCCACAAACAGAGCTTCACCGATGGCCTCAGTGGCTACGCTCGCACGGCACCACCGCACCCATGTCGGCGCACCTCTCACACGCTTCGTAACCTCATGGGGAGCTCCACCGAGGGCCCCAGTGGCTGCGCTCGCATGGCACCACCGCATCCAGTTCGGCACACCCCTCACACGCTTCGTGGCCCCATAGGGGGCCCCACCGGAAGGCCCCAGTCGCCGCGCCCGCATGGCACACCATCACACCCATTCTGGGACACCCCTCGCCCGCTTCGTGGACACATAGGGACCCCCTTCAAGGGCCTCAGCGGCTGCCCTTGCACGGCACCACCGCACCAATTTCGGCGCACCTTTCATACCCTTCGTAGTTCCATAGGGAGCTCCACCGAGGGCCCCAGTGGTTGCGCTCGCATGGCACCACCGCGCCCATGTCGACACACCCCTCACACGCGTCCACCGAAGGCCCACATGGCAGCGCCCGCATGGTACCACCGCGCCCACTTCGGCACACCCCTCGCGCGTTTCGTGAGCGCAGATGGAGCTCCACCGAAGGCCCCAGGGCAGCGCCTGCATGGCACCACCGCGCCCATGTCGGCACACCCGTCACACGTCTCCTCGCCCAAAGGGGAGCTCCACCGAAAGCGGTCACCACCCACAACGCGGTACTCACAATTGCATATGGCTGGGTCTTTCGCACGGATATTTCTGCCCCGTTACGCGCGCCGGATGTGTCAGCATTCGTACCCGAACTATTGCATGACTTCCGTATTGCGGCGACCTTACAGTCACGCGTCCGCGCTGCATCCGCGCGGAGCTGTGCTTCGCAAGACGGCATGATTTTTCGGAGCTCCGATGTATGAATCAATATCCTAGGCCCACAGGAAATGCGACCCACGGGACTGAGGCTCTGCAGATGAGTGCGATGAGTGTACCGGGGGGGGGGTTCTCCTGTCGGACGGTCGATCGGCGCGTTGGTCGGCGAGTCGTTCGGTCGTCGTCGTCGATCGGTCGGTCGGTCGGTCGTCGTCGGTCTGTCGGTCCGTCGTCGTCATGGGTCGGCGCGGTCGCGGCCATCGTCGTCGTCGGTCGGTCGGTCGGCCAGTTAGTCGGTCCGTCGATCGGTCGGTTGTCGTCGGTCGGTCGGTCGGTCGGTCGGTCTGTCAGTCCGTCGCCGTCGCGGTCGTCGGTTGGTCGTCGGTCGGTTGGTTGCCGTTCATTGGCTTTAAAATTTGTAGAACAAATCTTCTCCAGTCTGCAAGGCGCGCGGCAAGACGGCCTCCACCGACACCTGCCTCTCGCATCACCTTGGGCCCCCGCCTACACTGTTGTGTAACGAGGCCAACAACATGAACTGAGGAAGCGCGACGGTGCCAGGCTGAAAAGCTGTGTCGAATTCGGGAAACAGAGCAATCCCGTTCAGGCACCAGGGCGCGGAAGCCTTCTCGCGCAAACATCCTGAACCCAAGCGGCTACGGAGAGGAGAGGAAGGTAGGAAAGAGGAGGAGGAGGAGGAGGAGGAGGAGGAGGAGCAGGAGGAGGAGGAGGAGGGAGAGGAGGAGGAGGAGGAGGAGGAGCAGGAGGAGGAGGACGAGGAGGAGTAGGAGTATGAGGAGGAGGAGGAGGAGGAGGAGGAGGAGGGCCAGGATCGACCCGCCGGCCCGCAGGGCGTGGCGACCGGCGCGACGGCGCCTGCAGCCGTGGCTCGCAGGTCTTCGGGAGGGGTGCGGCGGCGGCAGCGAGGCGGGGCGGGAGCGGGGAGGAGTTGGGGAGGGGGCGCAGGGAGCCGGGGGAGGGGCGGGGGCAAGTGCACGGGGGGGAGACGGGGTGGGGCAGGAGGCAGGGGGAGGAGATGGGATGGGGCAGGAGGCAGGGGGAAGGAGGAGGAGGAGGAGGAGAACGAGGAGGAGGAGGAGGACGACGAGGAAGAAGAGAAGGAGTAGGAGGCGTTCTGAAGGAATGGGTGCGGGAAGAGAGGGGCTTCTCGTACAGGGGGCCCGCCCCGACCTCCGGTTCACCCCCACACACGTACACACTGGGCAATGGGCGGAAGTGGGGGCCCGGGCGACCGCTCGCCACCGCCAGCTCACCACAGCCGCCATGTAGCCACCCAGCTCTGGCCGCTCCCCCACTTGAGCGACGCAAAAAAACAACGGGGTCGACTGCGCCGACGTTGGTGCGCCAGCTGCTCGCGTCAGCTCGCGCGTGGACGCCCTCGCTTCCAGTGCAGCGTGCCGCGCTGGCGGCCCGCATACTCTGCGGCGCCAGGTCGCTGCGTCATCTCGCGTAAGACCCCTTTGATATCGTCGCCCACTTCTCTTCGCTGCAACTTTCGCCGCCCCACGATTCCGTGAGTCCTTCGTATGACAAGGACGAGTCGTCATTATGATACAGAGGGTGGCTCGTATGATACGAGAGAGTTGTTCTTGCGACAGCTGCTCTTAGGACAGCGCGAGTTGATTTTGTGATACGTTTGGGCCCCCCTGTGTAAGGGAATTGGGCCCCCCGGGCCCAAACGCCCCACCGGGAGGGAACAACCGGGAAATTAAGCAAATCATACGGGCAGTCTCTGTTCCGGGACGCTCCTGGCCCAAACGACCCACCGGCTGGAAAATTTAAACGAACCAGATGTGCGCAGTCTCTGCTCCCGGCGCTCTGGGCGCAGACGCCCCACCGGGAGGGAACAGCCCCAGACTTGCGACGTCTTGATTTTTTCAGGACGGCGTCCCCAGAAGTCCAGACCCTTTTCCCGGGGCCGGTTTTTCACCCTGACTCATTTTTTGACGGTCCCGGGGGCCGGAGAGGGCCCTCCAGGGAACAAAAATAGCGAAAAATGTGCCGCCCTGCTTTTCTAGTGACGCGATCATGTCTGGGGTTGGGAAATTCAAACAAATCGTGCGCTTCCGGACGCTCCGGGCGCAAAAGCCCCTAAACAAATCACGCGCAGGTTTTGCTCTCAAACGCTCTTGGCCCAGTCACCCCACCAGGAGGATTGCTCGCAAGCCCAAGTTTTTGCTCACGGGCGCTCCCAGGGCGATGTTTGTTTTGATGTCGTTCAGCATGAGTTTGTGTTTGCTCGATGTTAAATGTGAATGGCAAAACGATTGTTTTATACATTTATATATGTATATATATATATATATATACCCAGTCGTATCCTTATGTTAGATATGCTCGGCCTTTCAAAGTTATCCAGGTAAGTTGTGTTTGACAGATTGTATATTGTATTAGATATCTTATACATATAACAAAAACTAAACAACTGTTGGTAGTGTATATAAGTATCTTGTGTTGTTGGAATAGTTGTCTTCTTTTCATGTTGTACGTATGTTTGTTGTTTGCCTATTGCGCAAATGAGTCCGCCACGGCATTGCGGTGCAGATGTTCTTGCGCACGAAAGGGCGAGCCCAATTGCAAGAACAGCCCGTTGCCCACTCGCAAGAACAGCCCACGGCCCAATCGCAAGAACAGCGCAGACGTTTCCATCGAACGGCGCGGATTCCTTGAGCGCATCGGAAGTCGCACGCGAGTCAGCAGAACAGCGCGAGGAGGAGGAGGAGGAGGAGGAGGAGCAGGAGGAGTCCCGCCGCCCTGTCGTGCCGCCTCCTCCCCCCTCCGGGCCCGCTGGGGCCTGCCTCGCCCCCATTGGACTGTGATGCTCCTACCTGCTTTTAGCCTTGATCACCAGAAAGAATCTCGAGCACCACGAAAGTACTCCAAAGCTCGAGGGCGTTCACGTGTCGGGCCCTGGGACACACTTGTCCGACACTGTGCCGACGTTCTTTCGACACCTCTCCTGGCGCTCGAGATTATATTTCTGGGCTGTGGTCTTGCAGTACGACGGGAGCAGCATAACCTGTCCGCGCTCTTCCCACGGGCAACACTCGGTGTGATCCCCCCCCCCCTTGGCTGGCCCAGGGGCGACCGCACCTCGGGGAGGGGGAGAGGGGCCGCGTTCGGAGGGGCACCGAAGCCAGCAGCTGCAGCGACGGGAGGAGGGAGCAGAGGGAGGAGGAGGGGGAGGAAACGGAGGGAGGGGAGGAGGAGGAGGAGGAGGAGGAGGAGGAGGAGGAGGAGGAGGAGGAGCAGGAGGGAGAGGAAACGGAGGGAGAGGAGGAGGAGGAGGAAGAGCAGGAGGGGGAGGAAACGGAGGGAGATTAGAAGGAGGAGGAGGAGGAGGAGGAGGAGGAAGAGCAGGAGGGGGAGGAAACGGAGGGAGAGGAGGGGGAGGAGGAGGAGGAGGAGGAGGAGGAGGAGGAGGAGGAGTCAGGCCGTGAATATTCAGATGGAGACGCACACGAACGTTGTGACCCCTCTCCCCCAGCGCCCTGGCAATAAGCATATACTTGTTATTCGCGCCGTCCCCAGGAGAGAGACGGCGACGTCCAGGCATGGTTGGAGAATGCGAGTGTAATAGCCAGGAGAGACTTTACTGTGCTTTCCGCAGACCTCCTCGAGAGTTTTCGGAGTGAGCCCAAGGATTTTAAGAGTGATTCGCGAAATTCTTAACGCCTCTGGCGCCTGGATGCGACAAGATCCAATTCATCCATCTGTCTCGTCCCTGGGGTGCCCGCACGCTTGCAGCCACCTGGCAGCCCCCGGCAGCTCTTGCAGCCTCTACCCTCGGCGCAGCCCAGCTTCCCCCGGCGGTAGGTTTTGCTGTTGCTTGCGCGCGCTAGGCAATTAGTTATGCTCGTAGCCCGAGCCGACCTGTGACGCCGCCGGCGCCTTCGCCTGCGGTTGCGACAAAAAAGTATCCCCACCAGCGTTTGCTGGGCAATTAGGCTCCGCCCGTAGCCCGTGTTGACCTCTGACGCCGCCTGCGTTTTCGCTTGCGGCTGCGACGGAAAAAGTATCCCCACCAGCCCATGCAGACACGATCGAAGGCTTTCTTGAGGCCTCTTGGAGGCTATCGTAAGCCATGTTCGGCTAGAGGCTGTCTGAGGCCATCCTGAGCCATGTTAAGCTATCTTGGATCGTCTTTCGGCTGTCTTGAGGCCTCTTGGAAGTCTGTCGGAGGCTATATTGAGCCATGCTCGACCTCTTGGGACCATCTTGGGGCTAGGAGGAGGAGGAGGAGAAGGAGGAGGAGGAAAAGGAGAAAGGAGGAGGAGGAGGAGGGGCAAGAAGAGGAGGAGGAGGAGGAGGAATGCGGCACGAGGAAAATGAGGAGGAGGAGGAGCGAGGAGGCAGGAATGGAGGAGGGCGGACGATGACAAGGAGGATGAGAAGTCGGGCTGTCGAGGTAGTTTGTTGTGAGAGGTACTTGAAGCACGACGAAGGCCCCCTCAGGGGCTCTATTTGGGCCCCCGTGGGGCCTCTTGGGGTACTCTTGGGGCCTTCTTGGTCCTCATGTTGGGGGTTTGGGTGCCCTCTTGGGGCTCCGTGGATGGGTCTGGGAGGCTTGTTGGGGCCATCTTGGCCCCCATGAGTCAAAAAGAGGGGGGTTCTAAATTCACTCCCCCCCCTCGGATGCTAAGAATGCCGCAGTGGTGCCGTCTTCGGGCGCTCTTGGGTCGCTCGTGGCTCGGGCCGTCGTGGGCTTGCCAATGTGAGGCCTCAAGAGCCCATCGGAAGCGAAAGTGCTAGAAGGCAAGAAACATTGATGATGCTTAGGTTTTGGAGCCATGTTGGCTTATGTTGGGCTTCCTTTGGCGGCTCGAAGGGCACTTGAAACCGCCGTGGGGCCGTCTTGGAGCATCTTGGAGATATGTCGGAAGCTGTAGTGAGCCATCGTCGGCTACCTTGGGCAACCTTGGAGGCCACCTTGGGCTTCCTGGGACCCTCTTGGAGCCATCTTGGTCCATATATTGGACGCTTTTCTTAACAAAAAACAAATATTAATATATATGTATATATATATATATGTATGTTGGACGCTCTAACCCCTTGCGGGGCGCCACGTCCAGACCCAGGGGAGGGTGGAGGGGAAGGTCCCAGGCTCAGCATGCTCACCGGCCCCATGCGGAGAGTCCCACAGGTCGGGTACAGTGGGGGCCCGTGCCAAGAAACGCCCTGCTTGCCTCCGAGGTGCCCTAGGTGTCTGGGGCTTCGATGGTCTTGCCACGGGGAACGTGACGCTCCCGCACCGAAAATCGATGGACGTCTTCTTGGGGTCTCAGGGTTGGGTTCCTTGTGGTCGGGCCTCCACTGCATATGGGTTCTTCGTCGGCCCTGTCTCCGACGCTCTCTTCGAGCTGGGTGCCAATCGGGAACCGTCAGTGCCTTGCCTTGAACGCTTCACCTGCTGCATTTGCACCCTCAGGTAGCAGCCAGGATGACTGCTACCTTGCTGAGGTGAGCGCCTCGGCTGTCTCTTCAAGCCGTGCCCCCATGCCCGTTGGGGATGCATGGCTCCAGACTGGAGCCGCCCATCTATACCCCCCTCTCGACATGTATTGCGAGGCGGGTTGAGGGCGGCCATCGCTGCATCTCTCTTTATGCCTTTGCCTTGCCGCCTCTCTTACCGCTGTTGTTGCATGCGTGAGCACTTCCGACGTTCGTCCTCATGGCTGTGGGGAGAAGGAGGACGAGGACGAGGACGACGACCAAGACCCGGACCAGGACCAGGACAAGGCCCAGTATCGTTAGAAAGTGGTATAAAGGGTGTGGTGCCAAGGCTGAAAAAAGTTACCTACGATAGCCGCAATTGCGTCGCACCTGGATTTCAACAGCGTTGGCTTTGCGCCGACCGCTTCAGACAAAGTGAGAATTCCTGCTTCCAACTTCCCCGAATGACTGAAGTTCTATGTGAACAGCAACACAAAGACCTGTTCCAGGACACCCGATCACCAAGCACGCAATTTCGGAAGCTCCACATCGCGAAAAGCGTGATTCCGGAATTCTCGTATCACCAAACACGTAATTCCAGAAAGTCCATACGTGTAACAGAACCGTTTCATAACAAGCCATAATTCCGGAAATTCCGAAACGACGTTCCGGAATTTCCACAATCGTGAAAAAGAATTCTGGAAATTACGGAATCTCCAGAATCGCATTTTTGGCGGTAGGGCGTCACGCATTAGGCACGTTTATCGACGTTCATGTTGAATGGCGGTCGCTCAGGAAGTTGGAATGATGGGTTCTGACGTTGTGCGAAGCGGTCGACGCAAAGCCAACGTTGTTGAAATCGGTATGTAAAGATTTGTGTGGCCATCGCAGACAACATCGCCATTTTCAGCACTTGCGCCCCACCACGTTTTCCAACCACACCCCTTCTTCGACCCCCAACACCCAGGACCCAGGACCAGAGGGGGGAGGAAGAAGGGGTGGAGGGCCGAGGTAGGAGGGGAGGAGAGACAAGGGGCGAGGGAGGATGGAGGAGGAGGAGGAGGAGGAGGAGGAGGAGGAGGAGGAGGAGGAGGAGGAGGAGGAGGAGGAGGAGGAGGGGGGGAGGGAGAGGCGGAGGGAGAGGTGGAGGGGGAGGGGGAGGAGGAGGAGGAGGAGAGAGGAGGAGGAGGAGGAGGAAGGGAGGAGGAGGGGGAGGAGCAGGAGGAGGAGGAGGAGGAGATAGAGGAAGCAGGAGGATGAAGAGGACGAGGGCGAGGAGGAGGAGGAGGAAGCAGAAAGAGGAAGAGGACGAGGGCGAGGAGGAGGAGGCAGGAGGAGGAGGAGGGGGAGAGGGAGTCCGTGGGAGGTGCGACCCTGGTGACATGGACGCTTATCGGCGGCGCCTGGTCAGCTTCAAGGCCTGGGCGTGCACCACGGGAGAGCTCCAAGGGGGGGCGGCGGCCACAGGCCTTCACAGAGAGGCAAGCAAGGCATCCAGGATGATCTGGAAACGGCCTCGCCATCGACGAATCGATGAGTTTCGGGCAATCGCAGACATGGGTTAAGGGGGCGTGGATTAGCGACGGGTCCCGCTTACACGGGAGATCGCGGACTTCCGCCGCCGAAGGGGGCGGCATTGGCCGCATTTTGGGGGAGGGCACCTCCCCCGATCCATGGGTTTGGCGACCGCGCGCCAAATCCATGGATCGCTACGTAATCCATGTTTGCGCGCCCCCGAGAGTTGACGTCCGCCAGCGAGCGGAAGCTGGAGGAGGCAGGACGAGGGCGGCGCTGCCGGCGGAAGCTCGGCGGAAGCAGAGGTTGGCCCTCGAGGAGTGGTCCATCAGGAGCGACAGAGGGACGTACACGTACATGAATCCACGCTGGTTTCGAGAGTTCGCATTGCCCGAAAGTTCGTCTCACGCGGCCGGCCTCGCAGATCGAGGGGCCGTGTTCAGGTACATAGTTGGGCGCGTGCGTCCTCTGTGGGCTCCCTAGTCCATGCCAGCGTTCGGCGGGAGCGCTGGAACAAGCAGCTCACGTGATTGTGAGGGGAGGAGCTTCAACCATTATTTGGGCTCCTCGAGCAGCTGGGCCCAACTGGGGCACAGCAACTGCTCGCTCCTTATATTGCACGGACCGGAAGCAGGGCTGAGAGGCACCGGCCCTCGCAGGCAGGCGCTGACCCTCGCAGAGAGGCGGGAAAGCGTTGATGTTCAATTCCGATTTGCTCCTGCAGAGGAAATCAGGACAAGAAGGACAATGAAAAGGTCGAGAACGAGAAGGACGGGGGAGGAGAGGGAGAAGAAGAAGAAGAAGAAGGAGAAGGAGAGGGAGAAGGGAAACAATGAGGAGGAGGCGGCGGAGGAGGGGCAGAGGGTAGCAGTAGGGGAGAATGAAGGAGATGAGGAGGTGGTCGGTAGCGAAACTCCTAATCAGTGGCCCGGGCCGCATTGGACCCGCTGATACAGCATAGAAAGCATGGCACCGCCATCATCAATTCCAGACGCTTCACGTAACCTCACCAGCCAATCCAGAGCGATGCCCAGGCGAGTTGTTTTGATCAAAGATGTGGAGAAGCATGCAGTGGAATAAAGGGCTGGGGAAGCCGCCGTACCGCAAGAGGTGAAGGATTGAGGAGGAATCGGAGGAGGAGGAGGAGGAGGATGTAGAGGTGGAAGGGGAGGGGGGGAGAAGGGAAGAGGGAGGACGAGCAATAGGCGGATGAGGAGGAGGAAGAGGAGGAGGAGGAGGAGGGAGAACAGAAAGGCCAGAGGCCTTTTGGATGTCTCTCGGAGTCCCTTCCGATGTCTCTTGAAAGTTTCTTGGCGTCCTATTGGAGAGTCTTGGGGGCCTCTTGGCAGTCCCAGGGGCCTCGTGGAGAGTCTGGGGTGCCT